GGGCTGTTCCCCAGGGCTGGAGGGGGATCTGGGGGGGAGTCTCAGCTGAGGGGGACACTGTTGGAAAATCCATATCCCCACCTGATTTTCTTGCTGCATTAAACACTCGTAAGAATTCAAAGGAACTGTCCCAGATCTGTCCCAGAGGTTTTATTGGTGTGACACACAAAACTACTTTTTAATGCAAAGATTAATAACCCCGGTTTTTTTGTTTTGTTTTTTTTTTTTTTTTTTTTTTTTTTAGGGAGTAACCTCAGCTGCCGGATTTCAAGTGACAGAACCATTTAAATTTTGTCACAGACTTGCAATATTTACATAGTTTGTTCCCTCTGTGTGTGTCTCAACCGATAATGAATATTTGGGACTAACTTTGAAGTTCTGCCCTTGAAAGAAACCAAAGGATGGAGCCTCAGTGTTGTTGCCCAGCCCTGGGGACCTGCAGACAGACACACCCTGGTGGCTTCTGACTGTGGAATGAAGGTAAATGAAAGATGGAGATTCTGATATTGTTTGGGAGGAAGCTTTGAGTGCAACGCGCTTTTTTAATGAAAAAAAAAATATTTTATGAAACCAATTGCATTATTTGTGGACTGATACAATGGTTTGGGTTTAAAAGGACCTTAAAGATCTTCTAATTCCACCCATGCCCAAGGCAGGGACACCTCCCACTACGCCTGGTTGCTCAATGTCCTGTCCAAGCTGGCTTTGAATTGATCACATCCTGGAGCTGATCACTTCTTCAGCCTCAATAATTACAGGATGCCTTCCCAATTAATCTGGTTCCTGTCCGAACTGAATCCTTCAAAATAAGTAAAAAATTTATAGAAATAAAATCCCAAATCTGTGCGTGATGGTTGAACAATTTGATCCCTTCACAGGCAATTTAATTCTTTAATTTGCTGCAATCACCTCGTAATAAACTCTGCCCTAATGAATGAAATGAAACGCTTCTCTCTCCAGAAACGTTTCAGGCTGCAGACTTCCTTCAGTTGGTCAGCCAAAATTACCCCCTCAAATTACCTAAATATAGCAGGAATGATTGTTTGTTTGCTGCACCACCTGAGTGAAGCATTTGGGTTTCTGTGTTTGGGTATGCTAATGAACAAACCCCAATTACCCGCCCCGTGTTCCCAATTGCTCTCGTTCCTTTTGCTACGGCAGAGTTGCCTGAACGCTCCTAAGTGGATGTTCTGGCCACCAAATTGTGGTGCCAGGACATAAACCCCCGAGTTTAGTCCAGCCCTAATTAGGCCAACTTGCCCAGCTCAGCAGGTGCTGAGTGGTTTGTTTGCAGGGAGGAAAACATTTCAGCTCCCTGAAGGGGAAAAAAAAACCCCACCCCTTGAGACTTTCCAGGAGTTGCTCTGGGGGTCAGGGAGGAATTCTTCTCAAAAAATCACTTGGAAAACCAGCCATTTTTCAAAACTCTTGACGGTCCATGTTGGGAATTTAAATTTTGGAGGTTCTACAAGGGCTGAAGGGAGCGACGTCATAAATAGAAACCGTGATGGGGTTTCTGGACCAAAATGGTTGATGTTGAGTGAAAAACGAAAAAATTGGTGCCATGGAGGGTTTGTGACCTAAATGGGCTTTTATCTAAAAAACAAACTTCATTCCCAACGACAGGTTCCAACCAGACATGTGGTGCGTGACACAGAGAAAAATACCTGGAACTGTGTTTGTGCAAAACATGCAAATGTTCCCCATCTCTGCAGCTCTCTGGGGTGAGTCTGGCAGCATTTTAATTTTAATTTGGAAATGGCCCTGAGACAGACAAGCCAGTGACTAAACTGAGAGACAGAGGAGGAAAAACACGTTGCTTTCCAAGCAGATCACCATAAATGTCTGAATTGCCTGCATCAACAAGGCCGGGCACGGCAAGCGTTTGATCTCTAATTATGGCACATAAAACGAGGTTCTGGGGTGGAAGGGGGATGCCACCAGCATGGAAATGGGGAAGGAGCACCAAATCAAAGCCTGTTTCAGGAGGAGGGAGTGTTTTCCATGCAAGATGAGCTTTGTAAACACATGAGGAGGGTGGCCCCGGGGCCTGGGGCTGTGCTGGGCTGTATAAAAGCCCGTCCAAGTGAAGGCTCCTCATCCACTTCTCCTGCCTTCTCCTCCTCGGTGAACCAGGTGAGCAGCAAGAACCTTCCTCTGTCCCTCTTCTCTGTCCCTTTTCTCTTTCTCTTCTGGTCTCAGAGCAGCTTCTCCTGAGACCATTTCTGTTTTTCTCTTGTTCCACACTCTCAGTTCCTCGCTACGGGTTTGGGAGGTGGGAGAAGGTCTTGAGCTTTCAGTGCAGGGACCCCTTCACTATTAAGTCCCTTTAATGTTCCTTCCTCCCTGTTCAGGCTGTGCCTGAACACCAAACTGTGCCTTTTTGATGAGAAACCTGCCTCTCACTCTCTGCCTGTGCTGTACCTCCCCTCTTTCTGCCAGGTGTGCCACCCCACAGCCATGTCCTGCTACGACCTGTGCCGTCCCTGCGGGCCCACCCCGCTGGCCAACAGCTGCAACGAGCCCTGCGTGAGGCAGTGCCAGGACTCCCGGGTGATCATCGAACCATCTCCCGTGGTGGTGACGCTGCCTGGGCCCATCCTGAGCTCCTTCCCCCAGAACACCGCCGTGGGCTCCACCACCTCCGCCGCCGTGGGCAGCATCCTGAGAGAGGGGGGAGTGCCCATCAACTCTGGGGGCTACGGCCTGGGTAGCCTTGGTGGCCTTGGTGGCTTCGGTGGGCGCTACTGTGGCAGGAGGTGCCTGCCCTGCTAAAGCCGGGCCCGAGTCCAGCGAGTGCCTCGACCAAGAAGCCCAAAGCCGGACTGAGGATGGAGCTGCTGGCCAGCGCTTCCACAAGGCTTTCCTCCTCCTGCTGAGGATGGAGGTGAATGTGGCCAGCTGCTGTTTTGTGCTTGTCCTGCTCTCTTCTGCTCCTCGTGAGCCCCTCGTGTTGTCCCCTGCTGTGCTGTGCCGTGGGTTCCCCCTGAATTAAGTGGAGTGGGGTCCTGCTGGTCGCGCTCTGCCCGTGGCTGTGGGAGGCACTGTGTGTCCCCCACTGCTGGGCAGGGCTGTCTGACTGGGTCCTTTCCAACATTTGCTGCTTTGTTTCTCTCTTTAAATCAATTAAAATTTATGCTGCATTGTATCTGGAGTCTCCTCGAGTTCCTTCGATCCTGGGATGTGCAGCCCAGCTGCTCCCCTGGGGAAATGGGATGCCCTGGAGGGGAATTGGGTGGGTGGTTAAAGGCTGGTGGTGGACCTTTCTCAAGCCTGGATGAGCTGAGCAACCCCAAAGACCACAGGGATTAGAGGAACCATGGGGCAGTGGAGGGTGTGTGGAACTGTTTGAGGTGACCCTGAGGTGCCCCAGGGGACGTGTGAGCCAGAAGGGAGGTCGGGCACTGAGTTCCAGTGGATGAGGCAAAACACTGACCTGGTGAAAGATATTTCTGTGCAGGTTGACACCTCCTTTGAAAGTCATTAAAATTTGCACAGCATCATGTCTTGAGTCCCCCTTGGAGTTCCTTCAATCCATGGATACCCAGCCAAGCTGCTCCCTGGGAAATGGGGTGCCCTGGAGGGGAACTGGGTGGGTGGTTAAAGGCTGGTGGTGGACCTTTCTCATGCCTGGATGAGCCGAGCAACCCCAAAGACCACAAGCATTGGATGAGACACGGGGCAGTGGAGGGTTTGTGGTGGTGTGTCAGTAGGCCACGGGTGACCATGAGGTGCCCCAGGGGACATGTGAGCAAGAAGGGAGGTTGGACACTGGATTCCAGTTGATGAGCCAAGCCACTGACCCGCTGGAAGATGTTTCTGTGCGAGTTTACACCCACCTGCCCAGGGCTATGATTGTCTGTTACTACCTGGAACTGGTCCTTGCCCTTCCCTCCTCTAAGTGCATCTTCCAAACCCTGGAGCCAGAGGGAGTCCCCAGGAGCTGAAGGGATGGTGGCAAGAGATGTGTAAAGGGAGAACTGAGTCCTCTGCTATGGGGGAATGTGATGAGGGGACATAAATATGGGAGGGGGGGTTGACACACAGGAGTTGTCCTCCCTCATCCCGGAGGGATGAGCAGGGTCAGCGACACTGGGAACTGTTCGTGGGGTTAGAAGGGAGCAGGAGAAGCATTTTATCCACCCCCCCAGAATAGTCCTGTGGGCAGAAGCATTGACTGTTGAGGAGTCACTCCCTGTGTGTCACTGTGTCCTGAAGGGATGTGAGCCTGGAGCAGATGGGCAGCAAATGCTCCAGAAATGCCCCCCCAGCTGCTGTGCAGACCTGGAGAGGTGACCAGCGGTGATCCTTTGGTCCTCACAACCTGGCTCTTCTGTCTCCAGCCTGGGGATCCTGAGGGCCTGGTATCCCACCAGCTCAGGTGTCTGTCCTTCCTTCCCACACAGGCAGTGCTTTGGTGCTGCTTCCCTGGTTGTTCTTCAGGGAGAGCAGGAGTCACCTTTTGTTCCCTGCTCCTCCATCTGTCCTTGCAAAGACTCACGAGCAGGGCTGGCTGTCCTGTTGAATTCCTGCCAAGGCTCTGGCCCTGTGTCCTTGGTCAGGGTGTGCCAAAGAATAAGCTGTGGCACAACCCTGGGCAGAAAGAAGGACATGGATCCACTGGGCAGGATGTGCCTCGGTCACAGGGATGGCTCCAAAGTCCATGAGATACCTTTTCCTTCCTAATCTTTATCCTCTGCCCAGCTGTTGGTCACTCACTGCCTGAAAGACACTGGAGTGTGGCCAGAGAAGGGAATGGGGCTGGAGCAGCAGGAGAAGGGGCTGGAGAAACTCCTGAGGGAGCTGGGGGGGCTCATCCTGGAGAAAAGGAGGCTCAGGAGGGACCTTCTGGCTCTCTGCAACTCCCTGAAAGGAGGGGGATCCCAAGGATCTTCTCCCAGGAAACAAGGGACAGGAGAAGAGGGAACGGCCTCCAGCTGTGCCAGGGGAGGGTCAGGTTGGGCATCAGCAGGAATTTCCCCATGGAAAGGGTGGTCAGGCCTTGGCAGGGGCTGGCCAGGGAGGTGGGGGAGTCCCCAACCCTGGAGGTGCCCAAGGAAGGACACTCTGCTCTGAGCTGGGGGACAAGGTGGGGATGGGACACAGGGTGGACTTGCTGACCTTGGAGGTCTTTCCCAACCTCAGGAATTCTGGGATTCTGTGATTCAGCCAAGAGTGTTTAGAGGGGAATTGCCTTCTACCAGGGGTGGTCAGCTGCTTAAGGCAGGCTGGGATGAAGGAGAGAAGAAAAAAGACAAAACAAGCAGCAAAACTGTGCTTTGGTCAGGGATGGGCCTCAAAGAGAGTCTAAAGCCCAAGAGCAGAGGAGCCCAGCCTAGAAAGGCGAGGCCTAAATCCAAGTGAGTGAGATCTGGTGCCGACCCTCACAGCTGGATGTCCAGGCTGAAGCCTCAGGGGTATGAGCAGCCTGACCCAATTTGTCAGGAAAGAGCTTGAAGTGAGGCCCCTGGAGGGCAAGGACTGGCCCCACCTGGTCAAGTGGGACACTCCTCAACACCGGCTGCGTCATCACCCCCTTGGTGCTGACGTGTCGTTTTCCCTTGGAAACATTTTGGCCTCTAATAGTGTCAACTTGAAAGGAGCCCAGGAGGCTGACTGGGCACGGCCAGGCCAGGGAAATGAAAAGGCAGCGTTGCAGGGCAAAAAATAAAAACACTAATTTTTTTTAATTGGGATGTTTTGCATGCGAGATGAGCTTGGGAAACACGTTCCGTGTGCGACGGCGTTTCTGGGCCCGGGGCTGTGCGGGGCTGTATAAAAGCCCGTCCAAGTGAAGGCTCCTCATCCACTTCTCCTGCCTTCTCCTCCTCGGTGAACCAGGTGAGCAGCAAGTGCCTTCCTCTGTGTCTATTCTGTGAGTTTTTTCTCTTTCTCTTCTGGCTTCCTCTGGGTCTTTACCTCGGGTATGTTTTGCTGAGATGGTTGGTGCTCATCTCTGCTCTCTTTGCCACACTGGAGGGAACGGGGAGAAGGTCTTGGCTGTGTTTGTAGGGCCCTTTTGGGAACTGTAACACCTAAGGTTCTCTTCTTCCCTATTTAGGCTGTCCCTTCTTCCCAGTCTATGCTCTTTCTCCATCTCAGGCCGTGCCTCACGCTCTGCCCGTGCCATCCCTACCCCCTCTCTGTCCCTCTCTGCCAGGTGTGCCACCCCACAGCCATGTCCTGCTACGACCTGTGCCGTCCCTGCGGGCCCACCCCGCTGGCCAACAGCTGCAACGAGCCCTGCGTGAGGCAGTGCCAGGACTCCCGGGTGGTGATCCAGCCCTCGCCCGTGGTGGTGACCCTGCCCGGGCCCATCCTGAGCTCCTTCCCCCAGAACACCGCCGTGGGCTCCACCACCTCCGCCGCCGTGGGCAGCATCCTGAGCGAGGCCGGTGTCCCCATCAACTCTGGGGGCTATGGCCTGGGTAGCCTTGGTGGCCTCGGTGGTTTTGGTGGGCGCTACTGTGGCAGGAGGTGCCTGCCCTGCTAAAGCCGGGCCCGAGTCCAGCGAGTGCCTCGACCAAGAAGCCCAAAGCCGGACTGAGGATGGAGCTGCTGGCCAGCGCTTCCACAAGGCTGGGAGGCAAAGGTGGCCAGCTGATGTCTTGTGCTTGTCCTGCTCTCTTCTGCTCCTCGTGAGCCCCTCGTGTTGTCTCCTGCTATGCTGTGCCGTGGGGTCCTGCCCGTGGCTGTGGGAGGCACTGTGTGTCCCCCACTGCTGGGCAGGGCTGTCTCGGTGCCAGCTGCCCCTCTGAGCAGCCTGGCCCGGGTCCCTTCCAACGTCCACTGCTTTGTTTCTGTCTTTAAACCCATTAAAGTTCATGTTGCATTGTATCTCGAGTCTCCTCGTGTTCCTTCCCTCCTGGGATACCCAGCTGAGGGAAATCACAGAATCACCATTTATTGAGGTTGGGATGGACTTCTGGAGGTCATCTGGCCCAGCCTGCAGCTCAGGTAGGGCCACATAGAGCCCACTGCTGTAGGTGCAGGTGGTTTTTTGGTATCTCCAGGGCTGGAGTCCCCCATAGGTGGTCCATGTGTTTCAGTCACAGTGTTCCCGTGGTCCACTGTCACTGTCAGTGACATTTTCAGTGGAACAGTGCTTCCTGAGGTTCCACTGGAGAATTCTGAGTGTCCTTTTGTGTCCTTTTCTGCTTGTCCTTTCAATGGGCAGCACTGACAAGACCCAAACTCCTTCCTGTTTGGATTTAAACCCCTTACTGAGCCCTTCCCCCTGCCCCCCAGCCTGCTCTTCCCAGCTCATGGGTGTGATGCTCCAGCCCCCTCATCAGCCACTGGGCCTTTCCTCTGACTTGCTCCAGTTTGTCCACATCTCCCTTGCACTGAGGAGCCCAGAACTGAAGGGGGAGGAACAACTTCCCTCAACCCACCAAAGCATCCCAGAAAGGAATTCTGCAGGATGAAAAATGATGTTTTCCACCCCAAACTGCAAAACCACTGACACCATGTGTGTTTGTGGGGGGGGCAGTACCATCACTCCTGTGTTAAGTTCACAGAATCACAGAACCACAGAGTCACAGAATCACAGAATCAAGAACCACACAATCACAGTCCCAGAGTCCCAGAGTCCCAGAATGTGCTGATTTGGAAGAGGCCCACAGGGACCAAGTCCAACCCTTAGCCCTGCACAGGATCATCCCCCAAGAACCAGACCATCAACTTGCCATGCAGTTGGTGATGCAGAAGTGGACAAGGTGCTTGTCACTCCTTCCCACAGCTTGCAGTCCCCCAGGGGTGATGATTTGCCCTGTGCCTCCCACTCTTGCTTCAGGTAGAGTGAGGGTCACTTCTCGTGCTGCCCCATAACCTGGAGGAGCCCCTACAGTGCCTTCCCCCATAGCTAAAAGGAGATCACTGTCTTTAACTTCCTCAGGGGGGGCAGAGGAGGGGCATCATCAATCCCTGCTATGTAATAAGTGACAGCACCCAGGGAACGGCCTGGAGTTGTGTCAGGGCAGGGTCAGGTTGGACCTCGGGACAAGGTTCTTCCCCCAGAGGGTGGTTGGCACTGAACAGGCTCCCCAGGGCAGTGGGCACGGCCTCAAGGCTGCCAGAGCTCCAGGAGGGTTTGGGGTGTCTGTGCAGGGCCAGGAGTTGGGGCTGGATGATCCCTTGTGGATCTCTCCCAGCTCAGCACATCCCAGGATTCCCTGATCAACAGCTGCTGCCAGCAAACCACTCCATCCCCGTGCAGGGATGCCCTCAGGAAAAGCAACCCCCATCAACACTCAGGAGGCTGAGCTGGCAGCAGGAGAACTGGGGGGGGGGTTCAAAGACCATTCCAGGGAGGGAATGCTGAGAGAGTGCAGAGCGTGGCAGGGCACTGGAGCCTTCAGGCAGCCCCTCGCCATCAGTGCTGACTGTGGGATGGGCCAGTTGGGAACTGCATGTCTGAGTGTGCTGAGATGCTTGGAAGTGGAACCAGTGATCTGGAGGTGTCTGCTTGCCTCCAGTGTTTTCCCAGACCGTGAGTCCTTCTGAGGAGTTTTGATGTCTCATGGAGAGCTTTGCAAGCTCTTTCTGTCGCCTGTTATTGAGTCAGGGTGTAGGCCCAAAGAAGGGTTTTGTAGAGCTGGGGGGTGGAGGAGTGCTGGAAAACTCCAACACTGATATTTGGTGCTGGGTGGAGGTGTTGGAAGGAGACTCAGCGTGGAGAGG